CCTAACTAAGACCCTCCCCCTAGCCGTTGCAGTATCGATATTTGCACACGCAATGGCCATAGGGAGTGGCTGAGCAATTAGCATTCCCACTGCCCCTCTGAACATGCTAGAATGCAGCTCCAGCCCCACACGCACCGACCTACACACACCAGCAATTGCTGATGCTCTGGCCCATGCCTTCAGTGTCAATTGCCCCTTCCTGCAGTGGAAGGGAGGGGAAAGAATGTCACGAGTCCATGTGACCGCCTGGACCACAACCCTGACAAGGTGCCATGGAGGTTCAAAAGAAGATGGGCCTAATACAAAGAAGGAGCAGCCACCTGTTCTCAATGACTACTGCCCAGAGAAACGGCTACAACCAGCCTTGCGACTGGTCAGAGTGCCCCCTTGTAGCCCACTGTGCAACCCAAAATGAGATCCACTAGCACCAGAACCACAGGCATGGCCAGGCAAAAATGCAACGGGCAGTTAGAAAGGCCAGAAGCCTTGGCCACACAGGAAATAAAACTATGTCACGGTGCACAAGAAGGGCACAAGAGCATGGAGTAGTGCACAAGATGACACAGCCATGACTGCAAAGATATCCAGCCACTACCGACACCTCCTGCGCTAGTGCTGTGCAGAGTGGGACATGCTACAGGAGCACAAAGATTGAGAGCAACACGCAGCCCTGAGCAACAGAGAGCGAATCTGCGACACAAAGCGCAGACTACACAATGACGCAGACACTTAATATCTGAAGCAATATCAAGGAAAACAAAGCCATCTTAGGAGGTTGGGGCAGGGAGAGCCAGGACTCATGGCTTCCACTTCCCTGATGATCGAGCGAAACCGTGAGCACAGGAGAGTGCTCAGCGCTCGTTCCTCCCCTTACCTTTTGGGTATGGCTACTTCAGTGGTCGAGGGCAGCAGTGAGCAGAGCTATTTGCACATGCATATGCCACTTTGCTAGTGTAGCACTGATTTTTAGGTACAGGAGGCCAGCAGGGAGTGTTGCACAATGGAGGGCACACATGCGCTGCCCTTTCAGCAACTGTATTGAGACGTTTAAGGGGCTCCCTCGCCTTCCAGAATGCCAGGACTTTTATTTATTTATTCCAACAGTGACTGTAGCCAAACAGTTATTCATGTTTTAAGGAATAGAAACCCCCAATTATATATGGGTATGTATGTATCCTCCATCCTTACCTGGACTGAAGCAAGCAGCTCCTTCGAAGGGGGTTGCAAGAAAAGTGTTCCTGTCCAGGCCGTGCTTGCCCCTTCTAGAATCTTAATATGACATCCCCAGACTTGGGTAGCTGTCAAAACACTTTGCTTGCATGTGCAAATGCAGCAGTTCAGGGTGAGAACATAGGGCTAACCTGCGCCATCCATCTGCAGTACCATTTATTCGGCACTTGAGGGCAGCACAGAGGGCAAGGGAAGGCAGTGCGCATGTGCACCTGCTTTACCATGGCAGCACTTCTTGCAGTCATGGGACAGTTGCAGTGGGCGCTCTGGGGTGAACTGCACATGGGCCTACTCTGTGCTGACGCTGCACGGCCTCTCCACACGCATGGGTCGTAAAGTACAGGACTAGCAGTGGAGCTCCTGGCACGCAGACATAGAGTCAGCCTGTTGACAACATGCGCAGAGCAGGCTTCATTCGGCGTATGCATGTTGGTGTCGGCACCACAAGGATGGCCTATTTCAGGAAAGAGGCTGCTCTAGTTTCCAGATTTTTTTTTAATTCCTTTTATTATTATTTTACTCAACCACCATCACCTCTATTACAGCGGTGGGCCTGTCTCTCGTATGATGTGCTTGTATCTCCAACATACCTGGTTTGAAGCAGGCAGCTTCTTCTGAAGGCTTCAGGAACCAAGCTATCACCTGAACAGTGCGAAAACACAGACCAAAATTACTGATAGGCTGCATTAAAAATAGAAAGAAAAAATAGTATATAAAAAACTTTAAATTTTAATTATTGAGCCCCTTCCTCCCCCCCCCCCCCACACTTTTTTAAAGGCTAAATTCTTCTTTTCTGCCTGCTAACCTAACTACACATAACCCGCCCCACACAAGACACACACACAGCCAATAAGCCCTTCAAAAACACAACTGTGCAGCATTTATTGCCATGGAATGACCCTTGTCCGCATGCACATTGACCACCCTGCGCGGCACATGCGCAGCAGGGCCCGTGCCAACCGGTCCATCTCTCTGCAGCGAGGGACGGAGGCTGCCCCAAGCTGCACAGGAACCTGCATATTCAGCTCATTAACACACATCAACATCAAGGCATCTGCTGTCTATCCCTAACGCCGTTACTCAGCAAGACAGACCCCACACTAGCACAGCACAAGTAGCTCTTACAGTACAGATATTAACAAGGCAGAAGCAGCACACGAAGCATACAGAAATAAAAGCACATATGCTGGAAACTCGTGCAATCCCTGCTCATGTACTCCCATTTACTCAACCCCTATCACACTCCATTACACAAAGGCACTAAGCCAGGTTAGTGTTTTTGTCAGGGAAATACTGGCTCAGGAAGATTCCAAATGATAACGCTTCCTCTCTGAAACCATTTCATGGTTAATATCTCACTTTAGATTGCTAGTAGTCGTGGATGATACATTAACTACTGCCACAGAGTAGCCATGGAGAACTGAATCCTACATGTGCAATCCTCTTGCTCACCAATCCTCCCACATCAGAAGAATTTGCAAAGGTAGCATTTAAGTTAAAAACAAGTCCCCAGAGCTGGTGCCCCAATCTGTAGACTGGATTCTAGTGAAGTGGGGAATCAATCTCTTCTCCAAAATAACTACCAACAGGACGAAAGGCCTCAAGATGCCCCAGGGGAGGTTCAGATTATACGTTAGGAAGATTTGTACCTGCAAAGAGTAGTCAAGCATTGGAACGGGCTGCGCAGGGAAGAGGTGGATTTACCGTTGCTGGCAGCGTTGAAGAAACGGGCAGATGAAGTGCTTAGCGACACGGTTTAGCAGACACAGTGTAGGGTCAGGCTCGATCATCTTCCAGCGCTAATGAGTCTCTGCCAGGCCTCATAAGCAGCTCAGCAGCAGGGGCACACAAGAGGTGGGAGGGGGGTGGTTCCTGAAGCATACCTGCAGGAAACAAACTGTTATAGTAAATGGCTTGGGTTTATTTGCATTCTTTTGGATTCTTGGATCCTTTTGGATGCCTTTTTTTTTTTTGGGGGGGGGGGGGGTTTTGGTGGTTTTTTTTTTTTTTTTTTTTTTTTTTAAGTAAAAAAGCCAAGAAACGCAGGGGAGGCCAAATTTCTTTCCAGAAAGTTCAGGAGAGTTGTGAACATACACTGAAGGCATATTCTTTATAAATTCCAGGCAGACACATAATTACAAATATCTCCTTCCAATTATAAGTTTGTTTTCTGTGTAAAAAGTCATTAAAATGTCATCTTTGCTGCAAAACCGAACACAGTTCTAGTGATGCACATGTACCCAAAGCAATACTATAAATAACGCAAAGACCCTATGATTGGTGTTGGGACATAACCAGAGGTTCAGATATTGTTCCCAAGTTATTTAGACACAGCCTGTATTTAGCTACTGTACATCAAAAGTATCAAAGAAATAACACCTAGAGAAAAGTTATTAGCAAACTAATGAAATTTAAGATTAAGCCATTTTTAAATGTTCCTTTGAGTTAGTGTAGACAGATTCCCCACCAACAGTCAAGTATTAGTTTGTGCTACTTCAGGCATGACGTGCAATTCCTCAAACTAAGGCTTTTCTAATGCCAGTATTTATTTCAATCACAGAACAAAGCAGCATAACAACCTTTTAAAATCTTTTAAACTTTGAGAGCTAACAGTGTTGCAAAAGAAACAGATGAGAAATCTCTCTTAAAAAATAATATTACTACTCACTGGACACCAGCCTCTAAGAAAACAAAGAACAAAATAGTATATATGAAACAAAATGTATTGCTCTGTCCCCTCATGCCCACTCAAATCTTCCTGCAGTGCCTCTATCAGTGAGGAAAAAAAAAAAAATAGTTCTCAAAGCAGTTCCTCTTCTCACACATTCACGTGCCAGCTCCACTGGAGAGGGAGTTTTAGATGTTCAGTACAGCTACTTTTTGGCATTAACAAATCTGTGTGCTTCCTTCAGAAGTGTTTCAACATCTTCACTATCCTTTTCTTCCGGATTTGGTTCCCAGTCAGAATCTTCATCAGTCGATGCACACTCTTCATCATCATCTATAAAGCTGTCATTAAGGTCATATTTATTTAGTTCACCATCACTGTCACTGTCTTCCTCCAAAGCTCTCTTTCCTGGGAGGGGAAGAAAAAACATGTAGAATATTCATGAATCAGCACTAGAGAAAGAGACTTTGAAAATAGCATCTAGTTGAACTTTCTCCTCAAGAGAAGGATCATCTAAAGTACCACACCCAAATTGGCCAATTTTCTGTTTCAGTAATACTTCAGTACCTTTAATATCAAAACACATTCCCGTTTTCATTTTATCACTACAGCTCCAAAGGCAGGAAGGGGAATACAGAGATCATGTAATATCATAATATACCATGTTTTGTTTTCAATAAAAACTACTAAGCTCATGCAAATATCTAATTGCCACATGATATTTTTGTCCATAAGAGATAGAAGCATAAAATCCATGCCATTATTGTATGAGCCAGCTCATCCCACTTGATCTGAAAAGCATCTGAAAAGGCAGGTGCAAGCGTGAAGGGCCAAGCCTCCATATCACACATTTCAGGCTCAGGAAGAGCAAAAGTGCAGCACAAAACAGAGTAAGCTACAAACGTAGTAGTTTTCAATAGCTACATGCATTTTATTCCAAACATGTGTATGCATTTGCAGAATTCAGTCACTTCCTCCCATCACTTCGAAGTGTACTGAACAACTTGATTTACCTGGAGGTGCACTATGCTTGTATTCTAGCTTGTGCTGTGGATTCTTCCTACAAGGAGGAATGCAATAAAAAGCATGATTGACCAAGCTAAAGGAGCCCAGAACTCGTGTTCTATTATTATTATTTTACAGAAATAATTGTCATATTATTTCAGCCTTCTCAACATCTATTTTAACTGTCTGATTTATAGTGTTCAACTAAAAAAAAAAAAAACACTTGCAGAAAACTAAATATAAGGCATGATACTGGTTTAAAGAAGAAGTCTCATTTAAGCAAGGAGTTGCAAATAAATGTGCCAATAAAACAGAGGTATCTGCTGCTCACAAACCTTTCAAAGTGACTACATAATTGATATTGGAAGCTAACAACCAAACAATTGATACATTCCTGTCAATGAAGCATTTTCAGTACAGGCAAGTTATTGATATACTCATTTTTGGGTAGGACACTTTTTAATAGCAAAATACTTCTAACAATGGAAACAGATGGAGGTTGATCCTACTCTGGAGATTAGCTGAATGCAGCAATCAAATAAGTACATGTATTGGATTCATATTACTTTATTAGTATCTTAAGATAGTTGAAAATGTCATCTTGCTGCATGTTAACAACCCACCAATTTGGGATGACAGACTGATGCTCTTCTCTGTCACCGTGGACAGTGATTGGGTACCTGCCTCCCTGGTCACCTTTTCTGTGTCTCTGAAAAGCTTCCCGAAGTCAAGCTTTCACAAGGTAGTTGAAATTACCCACAAATATTTTGTAAGATTTTGGCCTTTTAAAGGGAGTGGTCTATCCACAGAAAGCAATCAAAAAGACAGAAGAGCCATAACAATATGCTACAGTCAAGATCTAGCATCAAGAATTACCCATTCCTTCATTCTTGCTTTTCAACTCCATGGGAAAACAATCTTACCACATAAATAAGAACACAAAAATAAGAACAGCCATTTTGCACAGTGTCTTTTACCTATAACAAGTACTTCCATAAGGACATTCAGGCCGGTCATCGCTGTTATGTTGAGTTATGATGTCTATCTCGTGATAGTCATCATCATTAGGGTGACTGAACTGCTCAAAGTGAACAGGATTCTTCCTGCAAAACAAATATATAGTGAAAGCTGACTATTCATACATAAGAAAAGGATATAGCAAAGGAATTAAACTTCATTTTCTGTAGCTACATAAGCGGTAGCTTTTGATGCCTAGCTTTATGCAAAATCTAAGACCAAATTTCAGGGTAAATAGAAGAAAAAAAATACTGCTTTAGTACATGTTGCAAAAAAAATAAGAGGAGGAAATTTCCTATTAGCCTTCAATTTTCAAATATGAATAAATCCAATAATAAATTTATTCAATGAATTTCAAATATCAAACATGCCGTATGACTGTGTCAGCAGATCTTCAAATCCTAGCATATTATCTCCAATGCAGCAGTTTACTGGGTATGACATGGAATGATCCAGTCCCAGTCTGACCATGACATTGCACCATACCATGGAACAGCTCTGTACGTAGCTGAGCCACAGCAATGCTGGAGGCAGGAGCACACTACTGGGATACCCAACTTTTTGCTGCACAACATTGATGTAGTCAAAGCTGAGGTAAGCAAGCACCAATGAAGGAACATTTTACCAGTTTCTAGCTGATCAACCTGCATGTATGTGGCAGAGGACAAGGCGACTCTAACCACAGAACTAAGGGAATATTAGCTTTATAAAACCTTTGTAGTGGTATTAAATAGAACAAAGACAGAATGCACTGCAGCTTGTGAGGTTCCTGTGATCAATGAAAACATACTTCAAAAATTATGGCAAAGTGAACACGCTGTTACCAAAAGAAAATCTACTCCTTTCCATAGGATTCCTGTTAGATATACCTTCTCCGCATGTGATACCTGAAAAGTGAGGATCATGACATATTTCAATAAGAAGTGTTCAAAAAGACATCCATAAAATACTTGTAAATTTCCCAGTAAATTTAAGTTTTCTTTCCTTTTGTTTCAGGCAAGAAGTTTATTTTTGTAATTTGTACAGGTACATAAACACACTTACGTAGCTTGTCCCACAAGAAAGACAACCTTGCTCTTACAGAAACCCTCAAGTTGACTGTATACACACTTTATGATTTAGAAAATTATGCAAATATTTAAACATTTCTCAGTGAAATATTTATGAAGCTTTTCAGCTGTCCAGCTATCAAAAGCAATTTAAAGGTTTTTCTAAAGCAAGTTTAGTAGATTAGGTCAGAAGACTAGGTTTCTCACCCCAGGCTCATGATGGGAAATCATTCCCATCATCTCAAGAGACTGAATTTCTCAATACTAAGAAACTAGTAGTGAGGATATAATAATTATGAATATTAAAGCCATAGAGTTCAAGCCTAAAGTTAGGCAGTAACTATGTGTGCTTACTACCTGTACATCTTAAATCAGACATACTGGAAGACAGACTTGAAAAGGAAAACCACAGCTTATCAACTGTCAAATTTACAAGCTTAAGGTGAAAGGAAAAATACTGATTTTCATAAACAAAGTATTGGAAATATGCACATATAAATACAAACGTTGAATACACTTACACGCATACTCATTAGGGTACTATAATACCTCACACTAACAAAAGAATAGAATTTGGGATCAAAAAATGTGGATTACACCTTAAGAGAACACAGTTCCAAGTCTACCACATTGCTTTATGTATTCTTAGGGAAAAAAAAAAGGGTGGGATTTGATTTTTTTTTCTTTTTTTTTTCCCCTATTCCAATTTGGGAAAGATAAGTAACTACAACACAAATGGAAAAGGCCTTATTCAAAGAGTTAGTCCCCCAGCAACAAACACAGCCAAATGTACTGTACACAGAGCACCCTGCCTCCTGATGATGATAGAAGTTTTCTTTGTCTTTGAAAGTCTTTAGGCCAGCCCAGAAGGAAAATCTGATACTAAAGAACAAAGACAAAAAGACTCCCTGGAAGGAGTTTCTGACATCAAGTCCAAGACTTTTAAAAGCAGTGCTTCCAGATTCATAAGTAAAGACACCGACCTGTGTGTTACAGCAGTAATTCCTAAATTTAAGATATCTGTTAGAAAAAATTAACAAAATCAATAGACCTAACATTCAATCTTCAGTCTGTGCGATTTTAATAGGCACTTTGGTCATATATCACAGTCCTACTCAGAAGGAAAATGGCTATTAATAGGAGTTTACAAACTAAGGAAGTCTTGAGAGCAGTTCATTAACGCATAAGGGAGATTCGTGAATAAGAAACATTTCAGAGTTGAGAGTATATGCAAAGTCTGAGAGATATACAGAGATTTTTCTCACTCATGAACTTTAAGGAAACACTATGCTTACCAAAACAGTGTTCATTTAAGAAGCAGATGCCTATAGCGTGTCTTGTCATATAGCCTATACCTTTCATGTGGCAAATACCAGCAACAAGAGAGGAACCAGTTAGCTACCTCAGGAGAGCACTCAAAGCTGCTCCTTTCCCTATGAACTCCTCCCACTGCTTTCTCCTTGAGAAGATACTAGACCACAAAATACTAAGTACACTACAAACTAGCTCCTTAAAAACATCTGTTCATGTCACATATATGGTCTATTGAACAAAGGAGCAACTGAAGTGATTCGCCTTACTCTGATGTTGTCATCCCACAGATGCAGAAAAACTGCTAGTACTTATACATTAAAAGCAGATTATGAACATTTGAAGCTTAAAGCAAGTATTTTTGATGCTTCACAATTACCAACTTCTCCATGGAATAAGATTCTCTACTATGCATTATTTCATAGCATCCGTCTCTTAAAAGGCAATATTTTCTGCAACTACTGTTGCCAGAAATCTGTTTTAGAATAACAATCTAAGAACAGATGTGCTCATAGAGAGCACTGATAACAAAGTATGTATTCCTTACGACCAAAAGTCCTTTCCTGAAAAGCTTTTTAATTTCATCACGAGTGATTAATTCTAAGTAAAAATCACAGGGAAAATCAAAAATAAAGCTAATTTTTTGTTATATAGACTAAAAATCCCCAAGGCTTATCAAATTACTGAGTATAATCAAGGTAGGACCCATTCACACATCCACTGCTTTTTTAAAACATTCTATAAAATTATGCCTTAACTTCCCTTCTCTCAATCTTGAAGCACACAGATGCAATTAAAACTTTTTTCCTTGTCAAAGACACAAGGTTAAGATTTTACCTAAATATTCCGTTCTCTTTTACCTATAATGACACCAATTCAAGGTCCCCTAATGTCTTACACTATACTGCAGAACTTGCTCTATCACAACATACAACTTGGCTAGGTTAGTAGCTTCCCATCCTGAAGTAATCCAGACACAAGCTATGCACTTCTAGTCCATATCCACCTGTAACTAAAATTTGCCTTAGGAATCTATCAATATCCTGATATATATTGAAATTCTTGGGTCATTGGTAATTTTCTAGAAACCTGGAGATAGTCTAGAAGCCTTCTTCCCTTTCCTATATTCATGTAGCACCCTAGAGCCCTTCTACCCAGGAAGGGCTAGCAGGAGAACAGAGACCAACTCCTGACTCTTTGAAACTCAATGAATTGGATGACAGATCTTTCATGGTCAATTGGGAAGGGCTTAGGGCAGGGAGTAGTAGCACTCTTCACTTGAAATATGTCCAAGGAAGCAAACAAGATCAGAAACTAGCATGGAATTTGCCCTTTTTAGAGAGGGAGAGTATGCTCAATCAGAAAAAACAGAGTTATAATAATAAAAAAAAACCCTTGATAAACAGGAATGATAGATAATGACTATTTAAAATACTCTGTTCACAAAGCATATGATTACTTCAGTAAACATAAATCTTAAAATTCGTATGAAATTGTAATAAATACAAATTTTTAAAAAAGGTGAATTTGTTAATAAAACAATCCCACAGTGTCTACATTGAGCATTCCAACCACTTACACCTTTCTCCTTACTGATACCTGTACTTGGCTGCTACAAACAGGTTTGTCAATTTCTTTGCTTTTTAACGGACCTTTGCTTTTTATTTCCTACGAAACGTTTTGATTTGCAGCAGTACTTCATCCCTTATTTAGTTTATATTAGCGGTTAGCTCCTGGTTCCTCCTTTAAAAACTCTTCTTACACCATTTGTTTCTCAACAGTCTTCTGCTTATCAAAAGTATTTTTATTTAAAATATTATAATGAATTTCCTACTTCTTCTTTGATGTGCTTATAAATTATTTCTTAATAATATGCTAGATTAAGCTAGTTTTAATTTTGCTTTACCTGTAACAGGCTCTTCCATACATGCAAGGTGTCCTCTTATGCTTCATCTGTTTGGAGCGCTCTGAAGCATTAAGACTTCTGGCTGAACCAGAAGTTTCAGGCTTGCATTCCCAATTTGCATCAGACTCATGAGTCCCTTCCTCAGCACCATAGCACAGAGAAGTTCTGCCCCAGCGAGCTTGCTGGCTTGTCGAACCAGTAATCTGTTCTTTCTTTTCCATTTTCTCAATTCTGTTTGTTGTTTTACATCTATTATAATGCTGCTGCCTATCATTTTTTTCCACAGAAATTCCATGTTTTTTTGTGTCAGTCTTGTCATTTCTTTCCATGTTTCTTGTGGTTCTCTCAAGAGGAAATTCAGATGTACTCTGTGGAACAAGGTTACATTTTGAAGAACCTGAAAATTTACAGTCTTCAGAATTAAAAGCATGAAGGTCAAACTCTGTCGCTTTGCATCAGTCTCTCCAGTATTTTGAAATCATCTTCTCTGCTTTTTACAAAACAGATGCTGAATTAATACAGTTACTGAATGAAAAGTTTAAGTTAAAATACACATACGAAAGAGGAAAATTTCTACTAAACTTCCTATTCTCTGACTGGGTTCCCTCATAACATACTTAGGGTTCCTCTCCTACCCCACTACCACAGTTCATGAATAATCTGAGAACTTCTTTGAAAATGCTTCTAAAAAATACGGGGGCAGGCTATGCACATGACAATATGGTGGACTCTAGAACATATATTCTTGTAAAAAAAAATATATATATATAAATTTTAGTCCCTTAGGTACTTGTATATATGGGACATAATAGAGTCAGCATATATATAACATGAACGTAACCCTACCTCTCATGCACCTAAGGGCTTTAGATCTTTGTCTGGATCATAAAATAATTTGTCAGGAGATACGGTCATACTTTTGACAAAATCCTGCATTTTGGAATATATGCACAATTAAGATGAAAGAAACATATATGACTTTGAAAAGGAGTATGTGATAACATAGTCAAAACAAATGCATTATTCAGATGGCCAAGACACTATCTGGAAAAATACAAATACTGAAGGCTGAACTACTCTGATTCACTATAGAACAATTTGAGGTCTCTACCATTTATTATACAAAGGTTCCTCCCCTCAGTGAATTTATCTTCAGTTTACAGTGAAGTATTTTAGAGGAACCTTAAAATGGTTGTTTTCTATTTTACTTTGCTCTTTTAAACACAAGATTAACAGAATGTTAATCAAAACCAAACATATTTGAGTGGCAAGATGATTAGGAAGAGGCAAATTCAGCATTAATATTGAATGATCTGGACACCACATATTTAGAAAGTCAACTCAGAAATAGAGAAGACTCCATTACCTGAGACTCCCAAGAAAGGTTTGGCAAAAAGCTGTTATTTAGGATTAGAAGCCTTCAGCTGCAGGAAGGCTGGCTTACTCCTGGCAGCACCACACTCCCTGCTATCTTTCTTCAAAATAGAGCAATTGCTAAGCCACATACCATAATTCTGCAATCATAAAACCTAACCAACTAGAAAGCTACAAGGCTGGGCAAATCCAGAGTTACATTACATCAGCTTCATACCACCACCTCTCCCAAAAAAGGCTCTCAGGAAAAATAACCACACATGACGCCATTCCTCATCACTTGCTGTAAAGCAAAAGCAATGTCCTGTAGGACATCCAGGGTTTAAATTCCAGGTCCCATGAAGGAAGTACAGAAGACCACCAACAACTCTCTCAAGTCTACAGCAAGGATGCTGGAAGAGCTGCTTGAGTGAGCTGGCATTTCCAAACAAGCGATCCAACGTAACAGCTTACCCAGAGATCACACAGTTAGAGCACAGACCCAACCTTAAACTATGGCATGGACAACCAAATTCATATTTCTTGATATGACACAGTTCTGCCATAAGCAAAAACAATTACCTGAGAGGAGGGGACAGTGATGGAAAGGCAGCCCTTTTTCCCTTCATATTGCTCTTCTTTACAAATCTCCGTAATTTCTTCAGAAGTCAATCTTTTTCTCTTCTCCACATTTATTTCTGTTTTTAATGATTCTATATCACTTCTTCCCTCTCCTTGGTCTCTTTTCATTTCACCGCCTTAAGAAGAAAGTGAAAGGGTACTTTCAGAATACAACTTTTACCATGAAATACTGATCACATAAGAAATCTAAAACTTACTAAAATACAGGAATAGGTGAAAAAATATCCTAAGGAGAACACAGAGCAAGAAGTCTGAGAGATGCAGTAATTGTTCACATACTGTTTCAGTAAAATATTTTCAACTTTCTCTCCTGCCAACCAGACTCTCTTCATTCACAAATGTATGTTTTAGGCTGAAACAGATGTTTGAGAAGCATCTTAGAAAGAAAAAGGTATGTGGCAAAGGATATTTTAGACTGACTATATCAGTATGATTTGATAAATTACCAGTTAAACAACATCAGCTAATCAGGTAAATGAAATATCCAAGGATGCTTTTTCTGACACAAACCTTTCATATAACTATTACTTAAGACTACTAGTTTATACACACAAATGTGAATCATGAAACAGAACCAGGGTATATCTGCTTGCCTATTCAACCATATCATACTTGTCCACATAATCAGCCAATAACTGATAGAAATAAGGGGAAAAAGTACAGACTGGAGGAAAATAGGGCAATTGTCCCATTTTTACTACGGCTCCATCTGCTGCTAAATGCATTCATAAGGAAAATGCTGCTATTTTATACAGCTTCAAAAACACTTCAAAAAACAAAGACATGGCAAAGACACTTGAGGGAAGCAAAGAATTTTTCCACATTTTAATGTCAGGCCTCAAAACAAATCAGTGGAAAGACAAACAGGAAAAGGAAAAAAAAAACACCACCCACAAACTAACCAGTCTTTTTGTTCTACTCTTCTATCTTTCCATCCAATACCACCATAAAAAAGATGCAAACCATTTCACAACTCTGAAATACTTGCTGAAAAGTTTTATTGCTTCATTAAAAACAGTCTGTTGTAAGCTGGAATTATCTCTTGTAAATAATTTCTGAAAAAGTCTAGTGGTGTTCTTATAAATCTCTATATTCAATGCAGGCTTCCATACCACACAAATAAATACCAGCAGCTGTGCTGGAAAGGAGTATTTGACTAAAATTTATCAGTGTTTGAGAAACATTATAATTTAATGCTAATATCGGAGGTAGCGGGGAAGGGAGAGATAGAAATCACACTAGTGAAGGGCTCAGCATGGCTAGCACCAGTTCTCAGGTATACGCAACTAAGGGAAAACACTGGCAAGAACAGTCTACATTAGGAAAGGAAAAAAGGAAAAAAAGTTTCTCTTGTTTCTCTACAAAGGTAGGCAAAACAGCCAATGGTATATGATAGAGGTGTTCTGAGACAGACAACCCAGGTTAAAATGATCTGGACCCCTACTTTTGCTTCAGGAGATAATAAGGAATTGTTCAAACTCTCAAAAGGCTACTATGGGTCTGCTCGGGCTTTAAGAGCTGAAGTTTCCCATGAGGGTATCTCAGTAGAAGTAGTAGATAGAAATGGAGGTTTCAGGGAAAGGCTGTTGGACACGGAGGAGCAAACATGCACACATACACACTCCAGCCACAGCGCTGAAATCTTATACACAGATTGAACGTAAAGGAAATGTACCACTTAGCACCTCACCACCTAATACCTGCCTTATACCTGCCCATAGACAGCTATAAGCATTAATTCCCAAAAGCAGCACTGACACAAAGACCACAGCAACAGACATTGAACAAAACTGTAAAGCTTCACTATGCTATAGCAAATGCACTAAGCTATGAAGATCCTGAAGCGTGGTTGAGAGGTTATGGGCTTTGCCAATAAAAACCACAAATACAATAAAACAAAACAAACAAAAAATACCCCGAGAGCAACAGTTTGTCAGCATTTGCAGGAAGTATCTAGTAAGCAACATCACCCCAAAGGACAAATCTAGAGGCTTTTATCCTACCAGGTGAAGTAGATGACTAAAGAAAAAGTAATAGAAGAAAAAAAATATAATTTCCTTTAAAATTCTCTTTCACTATCAAGTGTGAGGGTCTCCTCACCTTATTACATTTGCAACCAGCAAAATTATACTGGTTTCTGTAACAATGAATTGCAACAGTGAAGAAAGAGTAATAAAGATTCTGAGTTGCTTCATTTTTTTTTCTTACTTTAATCATACTGCTAGCTGATGGATGTGCCTCAGATACAACTTGCCCTAAGATCAGGATGACAGGTGAATCATTTCACAGCACCTCTGTTCTCCCACCCTCTTCCTGTAAGGGAAGATCAGTGGGAAGAAGTTTGGAATCAAGAGTCTGGCTCTATCTTAACTCTCCTATGAATTCACTGTTCATGCTGAAGACTGCAGAGCAGAACCAAGGACTGTCATCCTCCCATCCATAATAAAACACAGGAGAAAAGAAAGCCATAAAAGGTTAATGTCTGTATCAAAAAGGGATCTTTCCTCCAGAAGCCAGATCAGCTCAGACTGAAGGATGCTCTGAAGTGAGTAAAAGAATGAATCAGTCTCTGTAACTTGTCATAGCTTAGAGAATGTGACAGTGGAGCACATCAACAGCTGGCAGAAAATACTACTCCCTCAGCTGTAGACCTGTAGCTTGAGAAGGGATTCCTTTAATTGCCAAATTTAGGTCTCCTTGTTCTTTACATGATCTTGGAGAGATTTTAGTACTCCAAATCATGGAACACACCTACATTTGTGCAGAGACACAAATTACAGCAATCTGTAGCAATACTGCAAGCGTAGGCCTTCACTCTGATCCTTAATCCTACTTTGGTGGCCATGTCCTCCTTTCAAGAACAGGAAATGAATAAAGTGAGATTCTTTTGCAATCTGTAGTCCAGGCCGATGGAACAAAAAGGGTGAAGTTGGAACTGTTCTTCATTTTGTGATAAATGACATTGACTTTTCAAAAAAGGGGTAGGAGAAAATTCTGTTTGCCTGGGGAAGACAACCAAAGTTCAGATAAAAGTTATGGCTAATGTCTTACAATTGCTCTAACATAAGAGAGAAAAAAAGACAAGAAAGGGAATGGGGAAGAAAAGGAAGTTGGAAGGTTAGAAGAGGTATGTACCACATTTAGTTTAGAATAGAGTAAAACATAAGCCAATAACAAGATAAAGAATAACATGAGTAAAATAACCTCCTTTTCACATTCTTAGCCAGTCCTTCTAGAATTAATAGCAATTGCGGAGTATGTTACATAATTAGTCAATTGCCTCTAAATGACCTGTCTAAGAGAGGGGGTAGGAACAGAACCCGGTATCTTTATGTACCAATAGCTTAGCCAGAAAATAGAGAAACTCGGGCCTACAAACACCTTAGGAAGACAGCAGTCATGACCAGAATGAGAAGTGCTGTGGAGAGTGCTGTCTTCAGGAAACACAAAGGTAAAGAATAACTGGTGCTCTCCCTCCCTTCCTTTCTAGATTTTTCTCCTTCTCCTATTTAATCCTCCTGTTCCACCAGTAATGCTCACTAGAACCAAAATACCTTGTGATAAAACTGTCAAAGAATGTCTAACACTGGTAGCATTATGTTACAAGCTCTCAGGAACAAAGCTGGACATGCTAGAAAATATTATTGGGGTTGTGCCAGTGTGGCATCCTTGTCCCTCCCTGATACAGACTAAGCACAATATTTGGCTGCTGCTACTACTGATACAGAGCTGGAGAGGTTTATCACACACTCAGCAATTTCCTTTTGCGAGGAGGGAGGCAATTTTAGTTTTGTTTTGGTAAGGAACATGTATACTAAAGAAAATTAAAAAAAAAAGAAAAAAAAAAAAAACCAACACACACGCGCACACACACTCCCTAAACACACAAAACCACAATTTAGTGCTCCTAGAAACTTTGGAACAGTGATCTAGTAGGATTCAGTTACAGTTTAAAGGCATGCGCATATCCCCCCCCCCCCCCCCTTCTGTATAAACACCTCTGACACCTGTGAAATTGAGAGAACCTAATTTAAAAGGGCCAGTATTAAGTATATCAGAAACTACCTAGATTTTAACTCCTGAACAAAACAACAGAGCTCAACAAAACAGTAGTGTTCATAGGAAAGAGCTGAAGAAAATCAGATGTTCAACAGTCCAAAAACAGTAATAGCTGGCATTTAAAAAAAAAAAAAAAAAAGAGAGAGAGAGAGAGAACTGAAAGAAGAACCAACTAATGCCCGTATGACTGATGACAAAGGAGACAACACAAATCAATCCATGTCACCTGTTAGGCTCAATGTAGAAAGTAATAAATTAACACTTTCTACCACCACAAGCATAATTTAAGAAAAGGAGATCAAAGAAGATTAATGTATATTGGCATGCAACTGTACTGAACTGCATTCCTTCTCTCTCTACCTTCTTTTATTACAGGGTCAGAAAGCCTCTGAACCATGAGGTCTTCCTCCAGCATCCAAGATGGAAGCACTCTCTTTCTTTGAACAGATTTTAACTGTGCATGATCATCAGGAAGCAGCACCTGAAACGACATTTACTATTTAGCATCTTTCTCCATAAAAGAGGAAAAAAAAAAAAAACACAAACTAGCACATGAGTGTGCACAAGTCCTTCACACACACTTCTGTCAAGGCAGTGTCAATTAACTGAACATTTTCACCTTCCTACTCACACAGAAAAAAACATTTATAGAAGTCTTCATTCAAAACAGAACTGCTCAGCTCTTTGGAGTAAACATGTAAGAGACTACAGTCTAAAACCTTCACAGAACAGTTTTGTCAATATCTTGCTATACAGTTTGCACATGCAGAGATAACAAAAGATCAAGTTTACATGAATAGATGCCTATTTGACAAAATAGGAGAGAAGTCTTGCCTAAAGTCATGTTTAGGACATGTTTATTTACAAGGATAATATTGTCCCTTTGAGTCTCTATTTACTAAGGGGTAAATATCTCAGCTACAGTAAAGGGTCATATTTCACTTTTTATATTTAGACAATATCTACAGTTGAATCACGCTGCCTAGCATATACCTTCTAGTCTTATATTAATGGAAACACAGCAGAAGATTAAGGAAAAACCCATTGGCTCCAAATCCTAGTTATCAGACTACCTGAAAAAAGTGGTTGTTTTACTTAGCACGAATAAGAGAACCAAAACCACTTGTTTTGAAAACTGTCTGGCTGGATAGGATGCTGGCTGTTAAGGAAAAACTGTAAGGTTATGTAGGGTTATTTATTTGTTTTCTAATGGGTCTTGACAACATGACTATCACAGCTGTACAATTTAAAAGGAAGAGTTTGCTACTACAATACAAACAGATATTACTTAAAGACAGCACAAGACATCTGCAGTCTAGCTGCAATATCTCTAAACAGGAATTTCAGAGGCTTTTAAACTGGCTGAAAGAACAAACATTCATTCCTTTAGGCTTTCACAGATATTTACGAGATAGTTCCTGATTCACACCAGAGATCACGATGTAATGTCGCTTTGTAGTGCCAAACTCATCTATAGTACAGTTAGCTCAGAATATCCCTGTAGCAACTGCAATTTTCATGTATTCCAGAGATCAAGTAACTAAAATTAAAAATGTAAGGATAATATGCACAAGAATACATATAAAATACAATTCAATCAATAAAAACACAATATTTTGAACAAACAAGTTTGTCAAGGCTTACTTCTTGGGGGAAGAAAAAAAGTTTAACAAATATTAATATCCAATGAAATGATTAAGCACTCACCAAATGTCTGGAAGTAATTTTGTTTTTTCTTATTTTTGTGTTTTCCTGCATCACAGAACTGGAACATGATGGTTCAATTAAAGATGGACTACAAGACATTTTAATAGGGTGAATGCTTGGCGTTTCTTCAGCATTAGTCTCCTGACTTTTGCTGTCAAAGCAAACACATCATGAATATAAACATGTATTTTTACTCAAGCATAAATGCACATCTGAACTTTTGCCATTAATACACTTGTAGACTGAATGTACCAAGCCATTAAATAAACTTGAAGAACAAATAAGCATATCTTCGCCTGAGAGGATGTTGAACCAAAACTTTTTCCAACCATTGCCGACCACAAATGGGGTATGGTTTACTGTTCTCTGTTTAAGTACATAAGCTATAATAGTCCCTATCACGGTAAAATTTGTGAAAGTTGAAATTACAGCTTAGAATTTGCTTTACTGTTTTTTTTTTTTTTTTTTTTTTTTAATATTAATCCCTCCTAAATAATTTTTTTATACGCGTGCACACACACACAAAAGAAACAGCACCGAAACATGTACACAAATTTTAGGCCCAATCTTTTCACTTTGACTTTTTAATTCAATAGTCAGGTGTAGTCTTGACTCACTAGACCTAACACATTCATCTTTGACATAATTTTCATACTGCATTTAAAATTAGCATACATAGACTATACGATACTAACTTGCATATGCCATGCAAGATCATAGACTAGCATACTGCAAACTATTTTATCCTAAAATTAAACAATGTCTCCTTTATTGAAAGGCTTTTTTTTTTAAATGTGGTTATCAGATTATATAAACCAAACATCTGACAAACTTTAAAAAAAAAAAAAAAAAAAAAAAAACCCCTTCTACTAGCATTATTTCTCTTTTCTCTCCATATGCTACAAACCATTTAATATCCACAAAATATAAACACTCCCATACAATGTCAAAAACATCACTTTCAGTTATTGCAGAATCACACAGTGAATGACATAATATGGATACGTAGATGACCATGTGGGTCACTTGCCTTTGAGGTGGGTACTTACGAGTTGTCCTTCACCTAGGAAAACAATTAATATAAATCGAAACTAACATAACAGAAAAAGAGATCTATTGTGATTACACAAATAAAACATAATACTAGATGAGTAGAAATATAGTTACTATGAATAAAAGTAATCTAATTTAAAATAATATCAAGCACTACTGTTTTCACTATTGTATGTTTTCCTGTAACGTTGTCAGATTTTCCAAGACCAAAGCGCTACATCAACATTTAAGTTCATAGGCAAATGGAAGGACACTGTAAACAAATGCTGATCACCACATCTCCATGACCAAGATCACTTGTCATACACATATCCTACACTTCACACTCTCTGGGCATCACTATTTAATTCTTAACCTGCTACGATATTATTTAATGGTGAGCAGACTCACCAATTTATTCCCATTCAAGACTTACACCTCAAAAAAAGGTGGAACAAGCTGACAGTGGAAAAAAAAGCATTGTTTCTCACAAGTATCGATACCTTATTGTGCTCTCTGCAGTATGAGCAGAAAGGACCTTGAAAATGTATTTGTCCACCAATAAGGAAAAGCTATCTCCAAATTTCAGCGAGTGCCATTCATGTGCCTCCAGTGGTAGAAGTTGGCCATTCTCAGAGGACTGATAAAAGCATGGATTTACATGAATCTGTAAAACAGAAAGAGGAGATGGAATAATTTTTATATAACTAACATTAAAAAAGAAATATACAAATACCTGGTTAAGTTTAAAACACCCTTCTATAACAACATCTGAATTTATTTGCAAACAGTAGAATATATTCTTTATTTGAAAAGCAAAGTGTTAAATTCAGAGATTTATTTCTGAAGGGCGAAGGGGAAGGGGTTCAGTATAGAGAACAGATCCCTGTCTCAAAAGATAAGCAGGAAAACAAAGTAATGACTAAAATCTCAACAATTTTATTTTTCTTTAACTCTTCCACATGAAAAAGTTAATAGATATTATCTGAAAACAAAAGAGAAACAGTAATATCAAGGCTATGTAAAAGGTCACATAAAAGGAGACAAAGGCAAATTGAATGCTACTCTCCGGTGAAGCCTAACATCAGAGGAATCTCTGAAGGCAATTACAGCATTTATAGGTGGGCTTTATAGACATAATCAAAATGAGAAATGATGTTACCGGCTTGATGCGAACCTGGCCACCCTCCACTTCCATGATGGCATGTTTTCTGGATACTCGCTTATCTGTAATCTGGAAGGAAGATACAGCTGCTGTCAAAACCTCAAAGACAACGCAGATTCCTTTTATATCCGAATTTTCAAGTTACGATATGTAATTGAGCAGTTTTAGCGGGAGATATGTTTCAGGTATTATGTTGCAAAACCACTCTTATACTCACATTGTCAGGATAGTGTAGTAGACACAAGGAGTAAGATTTTTTTTTTCCTTTCTTTTTTATTTAGTTTGTTATAACCTGAATCTTTTTTTCAGATATCAAACTAAGTAGAAGTATGACAGTACTAAAGAGCACAGAAAAAGTTGGAACTTCATTTGTTTTAGTATTTTGGTGTGATGTCTGGGATATTTACAGCATTTTATCTGAATCTGTCTACCCTTATTCGCACTACGCTTATTCCTCAGATTTACTGGATTCTTACTTGCCAAAACCCACAAGACATTTGAGTAGGATTACAGAAATAACTTTTATTGTTCCATCACCCTTCCAGATAAGGTATGAACATATATATACATATATATATATTTATATATAGATAGATATACATATTTAACTGCCCATATTATTGTTCCTTTAGTAATAAACAGCCTTAGAGCCTCTCCAACCTCCTTGCCAGCTGCTTCTCACATCCCCCATAGGTGCCTCTCTGGGGACAGACAGCTGGACCTATCAGTAGTTTTTTTTGCATTGCAGGCCCTGGCCATTAACCTGAGGGGTCTTTGTAAGACACCACTGAAAAGATGTAAGTATCATCCTGTGACACTAGTCAGGAGCCACGTGATTTTTTTTTTTCCATATTTTGGGCAACAGCCAAAATAACATAAGAAGACGACTTCAGCGGGACCCTTTCATAACAGTTGACCCATAACTAAGCAAGGGAAGGTCTCACCTCCCCAGCGCTGGCAATCTAGCTTTCCAGCAGCAAAAAAAAAAAACCGCCTTATTCTGAAAATCTCATGCCCATTTCTCGGGACGCCTAAATCCAAAGAGCCTCCGAAAAGAGGAGCCCAAGAGAAGCACCGACGGCGCCGCTGACGGAGGAGGCGGAGGGCCCCAGCCCGCGCGGCACCCCGCACTTACCCCGAGCAGGGGCCCTCTCCCGAGCACGCTCTCCCCGGACGGCAGCGGCACGGGGCAGCCCCCGTCGGCCGTGGGGAGGCCTCCCTCCGC